GACTATAACCAAACTTGAATATTCACACACACACACACACACACACACATATATATATATATATATATATACAAGCACATGTATAGTATAATGAAAGTAAGCTAAACAACATACCAAAGCAGGCCAACTGCAAAGCGAAATTAGCCTGAACTAGTCAGATGAAGTTGTGCTAAGAATACTGCTCCGCTCTAAAGATGCCAATCACACTGCAGACGAAAAGTGAAGGTCAAAGGAGAGATTGCCGAGGTCCGCTACGCTCTAATCGGCGTATTTGGAATTAAAAGGTTGCGATTCCTTTCATATGAGGCTCCAACACGAAATGGAGTCTGTGACAGATAAAGTAATTAGCGCTTGTAGAAACATCGACCTGTGACCCAGACGGAGGCAAGAGTATTTTAGTTTAAAAGTCTGCTCCGCCGCAGAAGAAAGCCTGGGCATGACGGATCCTCAAAGAGTTGTCGTGAGAAGAAGATCAAATCCTACCGTGGGTGACTTTCACGCGCAGCTACAGCTCCGTAGCAGCCATCGGAAAAGGAGATTTGAAGTCCGGTTCGGTACAGCCGTCCGTTCCATCCACAAGTTACTGAAGCCGTTGCCACCAAAAGGGAGACGTGTTCTACCGTTTGAGTACACTCTTAACTGGCCAAAGCCGGGGTCAGACCACGAAACCGAACCAACGCTCCGCCGATTCACAGGCATCAGTTGATGCAAACCGCAATTCGGAAAAATGCCCTCGCGGATAATCCCAGTTTAGGTCAAACTTTAGTCAATTTTGATGGATCATAAGCCTGAATTATCTTCTTTCATGAGCCAGACATAGAATTCACACACTTCAGCATCAAGCAAAACTCGTCCTATCCTGCCTCCTAACAGGCCCCGGTTGATGGCCGAGTGGGATGTAGCTCAATTGATAAAGTAGCACAAATAACTGAATTTCTCGCAGGTCGCCAGAAAGTTTACAAACTGCCTTCTGCTGATGATTGCACAAACGTGACATGTACACTGAAGGCAGTGGTCGCTTGGTTTGCGCTCATTATTCGCGGACGTGATGCAAATAAGAACAGAATGTGCAACGTTTAGATTGCATACGTGAGCTTTAAAGGGGAGTCATATTGAGAGTGACAGAGACCACTTGGAGGCACAAATATAATGAATGGCTAAAGACGAGCAATGGGTACACACAAACACCGATAATATAGGCCTGCGGAGCCAATCGAGCTTGGGGGTTGAGTGTAGAGAAAGATGAAGATGACGAGGCTTTTGCATGACTTCACTGACAACATGCAGTAGGTATCATCGCGAAAAAGGACACCAATTATATGGTACTCTCCTCCCGAGGCAATCGGCCAAATTGCACTGGCCCCTCGTCCGAAATTCTACACTCTAAATGTAGAGCATATGAAAAGATTACCAAGACAGCCTAACACAAAAAGCGACACTCGAATATGAAGTGAATAGGAAGAGGAACTTCGATGAGCTGGACATGTGATGAATTGATCGAGCCGTAGTGAACCCAAACTTACTTTTGAGAAGTGACCAGATTAAGGACCAGAGCTACAACGCCAAAGGTACACAGAACGTATACATTTGAGTAATATCCATGCGGAACTTGCTGAACCGTCCACTAATCTGTGATGACAACTTGACAATAAAGGAGGAATTTAGTTTAGATCTGACAGCTCCAAAGTGAAAAACATGTTACCATTTTTCAAAACTTCAAGGAATACGTCCAAGGAAGATTAGAAGATAAAAAAGCCAGTTATGGCATTAATGGTCAAGCCAATTTTTAGTGCTACATGCACTGGTGAAGCTATGGGTCGGCGAGGGATTTTCACCTTGTCTTGGAGCATCGAAAGATGGGCATCATCGCAATCTTTGCCTATCACGACCACAAAAAGTGGTCAAAATTTACGCATATCGCGTCAGGAGGTAGGGACAGATGACCGACAATTGTAACTGCCAGCAGCATGGTAAGAAATAAACTCATGGAAACCCAAAACGCGCCACGCTTTGCTGCGCGAAATCAGACAAAGTGACGTGCATGAGTGGTGAGAATCAATGAAAAAGATGGTACGAGGGGTCTGATGAAAGGTAATACTCAAGGCAGCTGTATTATATCACAGGAGGCAGGAAAAATTGAAGCCTTTTTTTCTTGTATTGAATGCAAAAAGGGCAGGCACGATTGATATGTGAAAAACTCCTTTAAAAAGGATATCCCATACGCCAACTTTGAAGTCACCTTTTTTTATGCCAAGGGAAGACAATACTTGAACAGCGAAATGTTTCAGTCTTGCCCGTGTATACCTTTTGCTGTAGCAAACAGCCGGTTCCAAACCAAAATAATATTCTGGCCAAATCGATGCAGTTACAACCGTAGTTTGGGTGTGATTTTGTGGTAATGCGGTTGAAGGCGCCGATAAGAAAGACTTAAAAAGGACCTAAAGCTCTCCAAAAAGTGGCTCAATAAATTGGTGCATGCTCTGGAAAAAAACTGTTAAGGGTAATAATACATTGGTGTGATTATTCCCTACGAGTAGAGCGCATTCCAAGACAGATATAAACTGAGCTTTATTGTCCGGAAGTGGTTGCTGCCAGTCATTCTTGTGCTTTTATCTCCTGCAGCCCAGCATTCTGGCTCATTTTACATCGGACGTCTAGATTATATTACATTTTTAAAGGCAATGAAATGAAGCAATATATGGGTGAATTCAGTTAAAGCAACAATCACTTTGCGAGTGATGGTTTATAAGTAGAAGCGTTAGTAAAATTTAAGAAAATCTCAGATTTTCAGTTTCCAAATGGCAATAGCCTCCCTATTGCCAAATACAATAGAGGTAAAAACTCAAAAATGGTTGACTATTAATTTATTGTGGGCCTGTCTAAACTCATCTATATTGCAAAATCCCAAAATTTTTAGGCAAGGCAAGTATTGTTTTACAATTTCCCAGTAATGCCTACAGCATAACTCACATGTCTTTTTGTGACACTAACTATACTTAATTATCTAAGCAATGACAACTCTAGACGTACTAATTCAAATAAGGTTTAGAAGCTATGATGATGAAGAATTGACATAGGAGCAAAATT